ACCCAGAGGGGAGGGAATTGTGCGGCACCTGGGGACACGGGGCTAGACTGCGGCCCCTGGCCTGCTCCTCTCTTGGCCTCACAGGAAGAAACACCCAAAGCAGAGAGCACAGAGCAGGAGCCTGCTGCCCCTAAAGCAGAGGAGGATGGACGACGACATGGCTTCCTTATTCTTAGCCGGGAAGACTCAACCATGGTAAAAAGGAGAGCCTGGGACTAGGAACAGGGTCCCCTGGGGAAGGGTACCACTCACCACTGTCGCCATAGATCCTGCAGACTGGCCAGGAGATCATGGAGCTGGACACCAGTGGCTTTGCCACACAGGGCCCCACAGTCTTTGCCGGAAACATTGGGGACAATCGCTATATTGTCCAAGTCTCACCACTGGGCATTCGCCTGTTGGAAGGCGGTAGGTGGTCAGGTCTGTGCGAATGGGTCTTGAGGTGGTGTGGGCGTGCCACCTCACCCTAATGACCTTGTGTCCACAGTGAATCAGCTACACTTCATCCCTGTGGACCTGGGTGCCCCCATTGTCCAGTGTGCTGTGGCTGATCCCTATGTGGTCATCATGAGTGCCGAGGGTCACGTTACCATGTTCCTACTCAAGAGTGATTCATATGGTGGCCGCCACCACCGCCTGGCACTACACAAGCCTCCACTGCATCATGTAAGCCCCCTATGCTTGCTTAATGCCTTGTCTTCCCACTGCCTGCCCCCTGCCCTTGTCTGAACCCTATCCCGTTTTCTACAGCAGTCTAAGGTGATTGCACTCTGCCTGTACCGTGATGTCAGTGGCATGTTTACCACTGAGAGCCGCCTGGGTGGGGCCCGTGACGAACTGGGGGGCCGAAGTAGCTCAGAGGCTGAAGGTCTGGGCTCAGAAACAAGGTGCGTAGGGACTGGTATGTGAGCCACTGGTGTCCCCATGGCAGGCTGTGATGCATCTATTTGTTGGTTCCCAGCCCCACAGTGGACGATGAGGAAGAAATGTTATATGGGGACTCTGGCTCCCTCTTCAGTCCCAGCAAAGAGGAGGCCCGCAGGAGCAACCAGCCCCCGGCCGACCGTGACCCTGCACCCTTCAGGGTAGACCCCACCCACTGGTGCCTGCTGGTGCGGGAGAATGGCACCATGGAGGTGGGTGTATCTCTCTCTCACACACACACACATACACACACACACACGACAACCACAGCACAGTAGCCTTTGTTCCCAGTCTTAACCATTGTCCTCTCTCCAGATCTACCAGCTCCCAGACTGGCGGCTGGTGTTCCTAGTTAAGAACTTCCCTGTGGGACAGCGGGTCCTGGTGGACAGTTCTTTTGGACAGCCCACTACACAAGGTGAAGTCCGAAAGGAGGAGGCCACACGCCAGGGGGAGCTGCCTTTGGTCAAGGAAGTGTTGCTGGTTGCCCTGGGAAGCCGGCAGAGCAGGCCCTACCTATTGGTAAGTTCCTATCACCTGCCTCCCAAGGCCCTGCCTCATCCTCATGTCCCTCTCCTCACCTTAGCTGTCTCTGCTTGGCTCCCTCAGGTACACGTGGACCAGGAGTTGCTTATCTATGAAGCTTTCCCCCATGACTCTCAGCTTGGCCAGGGAAATCTCAAAGTTCGCTTCAAGAAGGTGCCAGTGGCTAGACCATGGTTGAGCATGGGGTAGACTGGAAGGCCAGGCCGGCAGGGTCTGAAGGACCTTGCACTTACTATGGCCTCTGCTAGGTTCCTCACAATATCAACTTCCGTGAGAAGAAGCCAAAACCATCTAAGAAGAAGACAGAAGGGTGCAGCACTGAGGAGGGACCTGGAGTCCGAGGCCGTGTGGCACGTTTCCGCTACTTTGAGGATATTTACGGCTATTCAGGGGTAGGCAAGAGACTTGGCAAGGGCCTGAATTGAGGGTGGAGCCTCACTCACAGTGCGCTCAAAGTGCCTGTCTCCAGGTTTTCATCTGTGGACCCTCGCCTCACTGGCTCCTGGTGACTGGCCGTGGGGCTCTGCGTCTGCATCCCATGGGCATTGATGGCCCCATTGACTCCTTTGCTCCATTCCACAATGTGAACTGCCCTCGTGGCTTCCTGTACTTCAACAGACAGGTAAGGAGGCTTGGCCTCCAGCTGTGGGAGCAGAGGGCCAAGGTAGTGGATATGGCTGGGGCCGAGGAACTCAACTGTGGCTTAGCCTGTGACGACAGGATGGGACAACGGGGTGTGTGTGTGTGTGTGTGTGTGTGTGGTGGACGTGACCAGTGAAGTCACCTCAGACTTGGTCCAAGAGCCAGACTGAGCTGACTTTACCTTTTGTTCTGCCTCTCAGCTGCTTTATGGCTTTGTGGCAAGCACATGCTTCTGACCTGTTTAACCATCTGTGCCGTCCAGATGGTAGCAGTGATTAAGGCCCTGATGGCAAGTGCTTTCCAGGAGCCAGTAACACAGAACCACTGGGGAAGGGTGGCCTGGGTCACAGACATAGGCTCCTTTGCCTATTTACTGTGTTACTATTGCTTCCAGTCCCCAGGGTCCTTTGGCCCTGGCCTTCCCATGCCCTGTGCTACTGTCCACCAACATGATGTGAGCTTAGACAGAGTCAGGCTACCAAAGCTTTAGCCTCTCCAGGGAACTACCGAACACAGCAATCCGGATATCCCATCATCAGAGCTAGAGAACATTTGGGGAGGCTTAGGTTCATTGGCTCCGGCCTTGTTCACCCCAGACAAAACTGACTTTGCTGCCCACGGCACTTCTAGGGTGAGCTAAGGATCAGCGTCCTGCCTGCCTACCTGTCCTATGATGCTCCGTGGCCTGTCAGGAAGATCCCACTGCGCTGCACAGCCCACTACGTGGCCTACCATGTAGAGTCCAAGGTCTGTCCCTCTCCCACATTCCCCAGGCATCTTCTGAGCCTGGCCTCTGGCATGTGACACCCCCTCCCACCTCAGGTGTATGCTGTGGCCACCAGCACCAACACACCCTGCACTCGCATCCCACGCATGACTGGGGAGGAAAAGGAATTTGAGGCCATTGAGAGAGGTATGCAACACTTGAGGGTAGGGCGGGGCAGAGCTTGGCCCACAGTCGACAAGGTGACTCACTTTTCCTATCCCAACAGACGACAGATATATCCACCCCCAGCAAGAAGCCTTCTCCATCCAGCTCATCTCCCCAGTCAGCTGGGAGGCCATTCCCAATGCCAGGTGAGGCTGGACCTACCAGGGGCTGCTCTCTGCTGGCAGCTTAGAGGTGGCAGGTGCTGACAGCCTGGCTTCATGCAGGATCGAGCTAGAGGAATGGGAGCATGTCACGTGCATGAAGACTGTGTCACTACGCAGTGAGGAGACCGTTTCAGGCCTAAAGGGCTATGTGGCTGCTGGGACCTGCCTCATGCAGGGGGAGGAAGTCACGTGCCGTGGGCGGGTAAGGGCCTTTGGGTGGGGGGCAGGCAGCCCCCAGCAGACTATCTGCCATCTTCATGCATTCCCTTGCCCTTCCAGATCCTGATCATGGACGTGATTGAAGTGGTGCCTGAGCCTGGGCAGCCCCTGACCAAGAACAAGTTCAAGGTCCTGTATGAGAAGGAGCAGAAGGGGCCTGTGACTGCACTATGCCACTGCAATGGCCACCTGGTGTCAGCCATTGGCCAAAAAGTGTGTTATTCCTGTCCTTCCCCTCTCCTGTCGCAGCTGCCTCCACCAGCTGCTCTGCTCACCATCTTCTGCCCCTCAGATCTTCCTGTGGAGCCTGCGGGCCAGCGAGCTGACGGGCATGGCCTTCATTGACACCCAGCTCTACATCCACCAGATGATCAGTGTCAAGAACTTCATCCTGGCCGCAGATGTCATGAAGAGCATCTCACTGCTGCGTTACCAGGAGGAGAGCAAGACACTGAGCCTGGTGTCCCGGGTACTCACAGGGCCAGGTGTGTAGGTGGGCACCAGTCCAGTGCCTGCTCTAATACTGTCCTTTTCCTTCCCCAGGATGCCAAGCCTTTGGAGGTATACAGTGTGGATTTCATGGTGGACAATGCCCAACTGGGCTTCTTAGGTGGGTGTGTGGGTCTGTGGGAGGCTATACTAGTGGGGTATGGGTAGCTGAGGCTGACTGTGTGTCTCTTTGTTCATCAGTGTCTGACCGAGACCGCAATCTTATGGTGTATATGTATCTGCCGGAAGGTGAGTGGCACCTCTCTGACCTCTTTCTGGGCTGGGTACCAGGCAGTGGACAGGTCATGACCTGAGTTCCTGTGCCCAGCCAAAGAGAGTTTTGGGGGCATGCGCCTGCTGCGCCGGGCAGACTTCCATGTGGGTGCCCATGTGAACACATTCTGGAGGACCCCATGCAGAGGTGCTGCTGAGGGACCCAGCAAGAAGTCGGTCATGTGGGAAAACAAGCACATCACATGGTTTGGTGAGTACTGGGGTAGGGGTGTCTAGGGATGGGAGGGTCAGCCTAGCTCACACAGCATCTCCTCAGCCACCCTGGACGGTGGCATTGGGCTCCTGTTGCCCATGCAAGAGAAGACATACCGGCGGCTGCTGATGCTGCAGAATGCACTGACAACTATGCTACCCCACCATGCCGGCCTCAACCCTCGTGCCTTCCGGTGAGTGTGCCCCTCCCCTAGTCGCTCCCCGCACCCTAGTTGTGCTCTGACCTCATGTCCACCATCCCAGAATGTTGCACGTGGACCGGCGCATCCTACAGAATGCTGTGCGCAACGTCCTTGATGGAGAGCTGCTAAACCGCTACCTCTACCTTAGCACGATGGAGCGCAGCGAGCTGGCCAAGAAGATCGGTACCACACCTGACATTGTGAGTACCACCTCTCGCCCTAGCCCATTTGCCTCGCCTGCCCTACCCACCCACATCTTTACCTCCCCATCATCCCACAGATCCTGGATGACTTGCTGGAAACAGACCGTGTCACCGCTCACTTCTAACCCTGTGATGCCACCCTGCCATTGTACACTTAGCTCTACCCATTTTGTATAAAACAAAAAGAAAACCATTTCTTTCAGATGACTGTGTGGTCATTGTGTTTAAAAGCCCCATACTGTGTTCCCCATTCCAAGCCACGGATTGCGAGATCTGCACTGGGCCTGCTCAGTGTGCCCAGGCTGGAAGCTCTGCTGGCCCCTGGCAGCGACCTACATCTCCAGGTACTGGGAGACCTCCTCAGCCTGGGGGGCAAGGCCCAGGCGGGCCAGAACACGCAACAGGAGGGCGGTGAGCCTCATGGCAAGGGTCTCCAGCCTAGGGGAGCAGGGTAAAGGGTCGTAAGTCAATGGGGAGCAGATCCTGGCCAGCCACCCATCCAGCCCCGATGTTCACTCACCTCAGAGCCACCTCAAACTTGAATGCCTCCCAGATGACCTTGATGTGGCGCAAGAGGCTGCTGCTGTAAATGCCATGGTATGCTGCACCCACCAGGCGGCTCCAACCCGAGACAGCACTGTATCAGATACACACATCAGCTTGCTAACCTGCTGCAGCACCTCCAGGCTTCTTCCCCTTGGCTCACCAACCTCTTGGCCATGAGGAAGTAGCGGTCAACGGGGGTGCCCAGTGTTGAGTTGATAGAACGCACTGTGTTGATGTTCCGCAGCACAAGTAGCATGGACCGGGGCAGTGCCTTGAGCACTTCCATTATGCCTTCAAAGTGTTCACGAGCCATGTCCTGCATGTAGGCCGCCTCCTCACGGCTCATCAGGTGGGAGCCCCACAGCTGGCCCAGGCGCACAGGTCGCTGCATGAGTACCTCAGAGAACAGCATATAGTCTGGAGAAGGCAGGAGGTCCTTTTTGGTACACAGTGGCAAGCTTCTGCCTGTTCCACAAACATTCACCCTTACCTTGTACCCCAAGTGCAGCTGCATGTGTCTTCATTGCAGCATCATCCCTCAGGATGATGGCCCGCCACAGTTGGCACAGGGAGGATCGGTCCCTGCAGGAAGGCCTAACTGAGCTCCAAGCTCCAAGCTGCAGGAAGAGGGGCCCAAGGAAGGTCCAACCCCCTCATGCCTGGCCCCATCTTACTTCTCATCCAGGAACTGGTAGAGCCCGTGGTCCAGGAGCACCAGCTCTGCTTTTCCATCTGGACCTTTCCGCACCAGAACTAGGAACACAGCATGTCAGCTCAAGCCACCCCTCTGAGACCCCACCCTGGGGGCTTTCCTACCATTGCCAGGGTGGGGGTCAGAGTGAATGAAGCCAGTGTAGAATATCTGTTCAGCAAAAGCCTGGATCAGCTTCTTTGCTACCTACGGAGAGCATAGGGAATGCATGGCAGCACCCACTGCCCAGCACCCACTGCCCTGCCCCATCATGTGATACTCACATCCTGTACTGCCAGCCCCTGTGCTTTGATGGCCTTCATGTCATTCACTTTGCAGCCCTCACAGAAGTCAGCTGTCAGCACCCGCTGGGAGAGCAAGAGGCTGCATGAGCTCAGCAGGCCTATGTTGTCCCACCCTCAGGGAAAGCTCTACCCAGCTCACCTTGCTTGACTTGTCCCAGTGCACCCGAGGGACCACAATATAATGGAAGTGCTTTAGCTCCTGAGCACAGCGCTCAGCATTTCGGCCCTCATTCTCGAAGTCCAGCTCCTGGGCCAGGGTCCCCTTCAGATCCTAGAGGTTATATATAGGCAGATAGTCACATCAAGGTTTAGCATTGACCACGGCTGCCACTCCCCACCTGCTATGGGTGGCACTACCTGTAGGACCCAGCTGAAGCTGAAGCTGGGGTGCATGAGCCCTATGATCTGCAGCAGGAGTTCCAGTGTGTGCACATCCCCATCAAAGCGGTCTCGTAGGTCAATGTACTGTACCTGCAGTAGACCAGGGGACACTGAGATCCAGAGTCACCACTGGCCCAGCATCCATTAGTGTGCAGCAGCATAGATACCTTTACAGCCACAGAGGTGCCATCATGTAGCTTGGCACGGTGCACCTGAGCCAGGCTTGCAGCAGCCATCGGCTGATAGTCGAATTCCTGGAAGAGTTCATTAGGCAATGCCTGGAAGTCTTCAAGGAACAACTCATCCACCTGGCAAGAATGACCTTGGAGTCACTGCCAGGGCTGCAGAGGCAGGCAGCTCCTCTTTTCTCCTCCCCATCAGTTGGGCTCACCTCCCGGAAGCCCCGAGTAAGAGCTTTGTCCTCCAACACACGTAATGTCTGGATGTACTCGGGTGGCAGCAGGTGGTTGAAGGAGCACAGCCCTTGGCCCAGTTTCACGTAGAGGCCCCCGTTGCGGATGGCTCCTGCCACCAGGGCATCAGCCGCACGCTGGTGACACGCAGACATCACCTCCATGTACTCCGGGCTGTTCTGACCACAGGCATGGAGGACAGGCTGAGGACGGGTGGCCACTCCTTGGCTCCCCCAGCACCCTTACCTCCAGTGTTCCCCCAGCACCCCTACCTCCAGTGTTCCCCCTCCCCCCTACCTCCAGTGTTCCCCC